GAAAATACTTTGCCATGCCCCTTTGTTGCTCTCTGTTGCAGCAAATCAGAGATCAGCGGCCTTCTGGAGCTTTGCACAATATTCCGAGAAAAATTACAAATAGAGGCAAACCGGGGCATCGTAATAGATTTCCGCGCAAGGCAACTCAAGCATACATCATTCATCATTCAGAATAAGAGCTGAGGTAGTCCATGGATTTACGTGCTAATTTATCTACTTTCTTAGATTAATCTATTAATTAATTAGGATTTTGTATTCATTTCAGACTGTATTATTTATTCAGACCCTCCGAGCGAGGGCACAACTGTAATAAGTATGTGTGTGTGTGTGATGTATGTCTTCCAACCCCACGTCTTTCTCCCTTTTATTTACCTGTTTATGATGGTTAGATTAGGGCACGTTTCAATTAGCATACTTATGCTTGCATGTTTGCATCATTCATCTGTCTTGCATGCACCGGGCTTAGCGCATCATACTAACTGCATTTGTATTTCTATTCCAAGGTGAATACTTGTTAGTTGTAGCATTTCATATGCCATCTTAGAATAGCCGAGCCTATCTTAGTTGCATTTTGCATGTGTTGCATTAGGCATTACTGTATAGTTAGGACCATGCATGGATTTCTAATTAGCTTCTGTTTTGGCTTGGAGTACTCGGTAAGTGTTTTTACTTTAGCATCCTTGCATGTGTGTGAGGGACTGCCATGATAGCATGCTTACCGTGAGGCTAATTGCTTATGTGATATAACTGCCTTAATGCCTATGGGTGAAGGTTGGGTTATTTGAATTGGAACAATTCGTCAATTGCGAGTTTTAAGCCCACTTGAGAGCGGCAAATCATCATGTTTTCTAAGCCCACCTGAGGGTGGCAAAACCTGCATTTTAGCCTACTTGCGAGTAGCAAACTGTTTTCAAAACAAACATGAGATGTTTCATTCCAATTCAGGCGACCCAGTCTATACTTGTATGCTGTGCGCATCACATAGTAAATCTAGGCTAATAACCGGAATAAGAACGCATAATGTTTTCAAAATTAGATATCATAGTTAGAAGAGGCCGATCTTTGATCGGGCGAGCGGGGGTGCTCACGAAGTGACCTTCCCAATCGTACCCAAGTTCCTGAGCCGAGGCAACTTTGGTGATGACGGACACGTGACCTTAGGCAACGAGTCAGGGTTTCCTAAATTTCTCAAAATAAAATATTTAGGTGGCGACTCTGTATCTGGCAAAGCAGTCTATGTTTGGCACTTCTTTAAAAAAAATCTGTTTTCAAAAACGATTTGCCGGATTTGGACTCTTTGATGATTTCGTCGGTCTTGCATTGCACTCTGCGAGATTAGATACAGGACCGTGACATTCAGTCCTGAACTGTAGTGAGCCCAATGAACAAAACGGGGGTGATTTCCTCCCGGGACGTTCGGGGACGTCTACAAGTTCGAATTATAAAAATGGAGCCCGTTGTGGGCCTCCACAAGTCCAACAGTACCCTCCAAATCGATCTGGGATTGTAGGGAAGCCATTCTGTATAAAAAAAAATTGAAACGAAGGAGGCTTATATAGAACTCAAGGCAGTGGCAGAGCTAAAGCCCCCCCTCAGTTTTGATTTTTATTTATTTATTATTATTATTATTATTTATTATTATTATTTTTGCATATACAAAATGTATGCTCTCACTTATGCTTTTTGACTAGGGATTTTTTTATTTTTTTTATTTTTTTCTGGCATTGTTCACAATATGTAAGTTTATTTGGCACTCTTGAAACGTCATGTGGTGTTATTTATGTGGTGGTCTAAATCAATAATATAGTGTGAAATTTTCTAAATGAAACATAGGCGTCGTTTGGGAAGGCAATCCCAGACTAACGTAGCCAAGTCGCGACAAAAAAGGCTAATTCAGCCAAGTCACGACAAAATCGATTTTCACGGGTGTTGGGCAAGGCTGTGTGGTGTCAATTTACCGAATTGCCCCGAGAGGTTAAAATCTCTCCATCTGCAAAAAGCGGCTCACATTAGAGCTCATACACACCTATTGCAAAGCAGAGGAGAAGAAGAACGGAGCTATTGGAGGCCGTCGGACCGACCTTGGCAGAGGAAACCGCAACCGGAGATTGAAACCGCGGCGGCGAACAACAACCAACTCTCTCACACTCAAACCGATCTGCAGGTAATGATCTATGGCCTATCTGATTTGTTTTCTCTTCTTCCCATCTGCGTAGTTTATGTTCATAACAGCATCGGTTCATGGCCGATCTGTTGGCTCACGATCATTATTGGGTTGATTACACTTACATTACACACAGACCGGCCACCGATCTGTCTCATCCGTAAATCTCGTCTTTTAGATCTATTGTTATGTTCGAAATCTGTTCGCATCCAACAAATTTGGGGCAGATTTGTATATATACATATATATATATATATAATATCTGATCTGATTCAAATAGTTGGTCTGATTTATGAAAATCAGCTCTATTGTTCTTATATATCTGTTCAGAATCACAAATTTGGTCCAGATGTATGAAGGCACCGTTGTTTAAACAATCAAGGAAATGCAAATCTGTTCTACAATTGTTGTATCTGTTCGGTTATAGTTTCAAATGCAGATCCTTAATTTTTTTTTTATATATAAATAAGAAATGCTGTTCCCATTTGTGAAATGCTGAATTCCCATTTGTGCTTAACAGAAATGCTCAATTCCCATTTGTGAAATGCTCAATTCCCCTGATTGTTGCCTAATAGAAATGCTCAATTCCCATCTGTGAATTTTTTTTAATTACATAAAAAATATAATTCCAACTCAATTTGGGTTACAAGTTAGAGATATTAACAACAAATTGTCAAAATATATATAACTTATAGTCCAAAAAGAAAAAATTAAAAATTGTAATCAATTAAGCAATATATTAAAAATATATTACGAAGATATTAAAAAAATATATGTGAAATGTATATTAGAAATTTTGATTTACAAGGTAAAGACTGTAAAAATTTTATTACACATATATGTCAAAATTTAATTATGAAAAACTTTATCATCAATATATGAATAAATGTTTTCAAAAAAGCCAAAAAATATATTGAAAATATATTACAAATTAGATGTATTAATTTGCGAATATTTTTTACTCAAGACAAAATGCTCAATTCTCAATTCAAAAAAATAAATTAATTACATAAAAAATATTTTCCAACTAAATTTGGGAAGGAAGGTAGATATATTATCTACATATATTAACAACAAATTACAAAATATATGAAATTTATATTAGAAATATATAAAAATAACAGTTTACTAAAAATATATTACAAAAATGTTTGACAGATATTAATAATGTATTAATATTATATATTACAAATTTAGAGGTAAACAATAAAGAGTGTAAAAGTTTTATTAAACAGATATGACTACATGTAAGTATGAAAAAACTTTATCATAAATATATTCAAAAATGTAAATATATTCTCACCAATCCATTTTGCTGCCTATCATAAAAAATGTAGTACAAATATATTCTCACCAATCCATTTTGCTGCCTATCATAAAAAATGTAGTACAAATATATTCTCACCAATCCATTTTGCTGCCTATCATAAAAAATGTAGTACAAATATATTCTCACCAATCCATTTTGCTGCCTATCATAAAAAATGTAGTACAAATATATTCTCACCAATCCATTTTGCTGCCTATCATAAAAAATGTAGTACAAATATATTCTCACCAATCCATTTTGCTGCCTATCATAAAAAATGTAGTACAAATATATTCTCACCAATCCATTTTGCTGCCTATCATAAAAAATGTAGTACAAATATATTCTCACCAATCCATTTTGCTGCCTATCATAAAAAATGTAGTACAAATATATTCTCACCAATCCATTTTGCTGCCTATCATAAAAAATGTAGTACAAATATATTCTCACCAATCCATTTTGCTGCCTATCATAAAAAATGTAGTACAAATATATTCTCACCAATCCATTTTGCTGCCTATCATAAAAAATGTAGTACAAATATATTCTCACCAATCCATTTTGCTGCCTATCATAAAAAATGTAGTACAAATATATTCTCACCAATCCATTTTGCTGCCTATCATAAAAAATGTAGTACAAATATATTCTCACCAATCCATTTTGCTGCCTATCATAAAAAATGTAGTACAAATATATTCTCACCAATCCATTTTGCTGCCTATCATAAAAAATGTAGTACAAATATATTCTCACCAATCCATTTTGCTGCCTATCATAAAAAATGTAGTACAAATATATTCTCACCAATCCATTTTGCTGCCTATCATAAAAAATGTAGTACAAATATATTCTCACCAATCCATTTTGCTGCCTATCATAAAAAATGTAGTACAAATATATTCTCACCAATCCATTTTGCTGCCTATCATAAAAAATGTAGTACAAATATATTCTCACCAATCCATTTTGCTGCCTATCATAAAAAATGTAGTACAAATATATTCTCACCAATCCATTTTGCTGCCTATCATAAAAAATGTAGTACAAATATATTCTCACCAATCCATTTTGCTGCCTATCATAAAAAATGTAGTACAAATATATTCTCACCAATCCATTTTGCTGCCTATCATAAAAAATGTAGTACAAATATATTCTCACCAATCCATTTTGCTGCCTATCATAAAAAATGTAGTACAAATATATTCTCACCAATCCATTTTGCTGCCTATCATAAAAAATGTAGTACAAATATATTCTCACCAATCCATTTTGCTGCCTATCATAAAAAATGTAGTACAAATATATTCTCACCAATCCATTTTGCTGCCTATCATAAAAAATATTATCAAAATATATTACAATCAGTCCGAGTTTTCCTCCAGTTGATTGCAAATGAGATTAGTAAAGGAAATCGGCCATTCTTAGTCCTCAGCCAGGCAGGGTACAAGTCATTGTCAAGGAAATTTTCAGAGAAAAACAGGAAAAAAACATGGACTGAAACAGTTGAAGAATAAGTACATGAGCTTGAAAAAAGAGTGGCAAGCGTGGACGAAGTTAATGGATTCAAGCAAGGGAGTGCCCGGGATAGGCTTTGACTATGACACCGGTTTGTTTCAGGCACCTGACGAGCGGTGGGACAAGATGGAATCAGTAAGTACATGTACAAACAAGTTTCATATTTGTCATTTACCAGTACATTTTTTACTTTTTCATTCAACCTCAATAAAATTTATTTATATGAAATATAACGTCTACCTCTTTTACACATGTACATGTCTGCAGATCAACAAGGCATGTGCGAAGTTCAGGAAGAAAACATTGGAACACCGTGACTTGATAGAGACGGTTTTCATGGGGGCAGCAGCTACTGGGAAGCACCATTGGACCCCGGGAGAGAACCTTCCTGAAGCTGCTACGGACTCATCTGATTCAGTGCGTAGTTTGGGAGCCCAGCCATTTGCTGATCCGATACCCACATGAGTACAGGACGTGGATTCTGATTCTTCACTGGAGCATGTGCCGATTGAAAAGGCAAAAAGGAGAAAGACGCCATCAACAAGTGTCTCAAAGTCAAAGAAGGCAACAAGTGGTGCGTCTGTTATTGCGGAAAGCATGAACAAAATGACAGATGTGGTGCGTTCGAAGAATCAGCAGGTCACGGTCAGGCACCTCACAGGTAACGAATCGCTGTACACTATTTCCGAGTGCATGCATAAACTGAGCAGTATTCCATCCCTGATTGGTATGCCATTATTCCACTTCGCCTCCACACTTATGGATAACGCCGATTACCGGGAGGTCATGATGTGCCAGCCTGATGACGACCAAATGATTGGATGGCTTACACAGAAGCAGCTCCAGTGTACTGCGTCGGGGCCATTTACAAACCTATTTGGGGGTCGCCGGATGTGATGTATCGGTCTTACGAGTGTTGAAGATGCATGTCCGTTTCTTCCTTTTTAAAACTTAGACTTATGGTACAGTTGGCTATGTACTAAAACAGGATGGTGGTGTGTGCATGTTTTGCATTCTGTCTTTTTTTTTTTTCTTCTTGCTAGCTACGGGCAGCAACAAGTTTTAGATAAGTACATGGGTTGACGGACCGGAAGCATGGTTGTGCTTCGTTTTTGGGAAATGAATGGGATGCTTACGTTTTAATATTTTGTGTCGCTACGTTTAAGACAGGGAATTACGTTTTAGATGCACGCTTCTGAATGCTTATATGTCGCAAGTTCTTTTGTTAGTTTTGTGGTTGTTACCACCATGGCCCCCCTGTAAAGCATAAGTTGAACAGCTTCTTTTTTTTGTGCAATTCATATGATCATGCGTTCCAAAGGACATTGGTCACAGCATTGCTTTCATTAAAAACAATGTCGGCATTGTATAATTGCAAAATTCAATATAATTTAAGTCAATGAATCACGTGCCAACTGATTGAAAGGCTGCCACTTTTGTAGGCTTCGCATCAACGAAGACGCGATGAATCCCTGGGATGGAAGCAACCATGATGAAATAATGGAAATGCTTAATCAAATGGCGGTCCAGGTGCAACAAGAACAGAACTGCACATTTCTAAAAGCATGCCAGTTGGCGACAGAATGGTACCAAAAACACATGAATAAAACGCCATGTCGCACTTCTATACTAACCGGGAATACATGGATATGCGAACTATATGCGGGGCATATGGGTCGCTTTGAGGAAAATGTTTGCATGCCGAAGGAAGTTTTTGCCGCATTGTGTGAGACATTAGTAAATGATTTTGGGTTACAAGTCCCGCAACGTCCACATGGCTTAGCTGTTGAAGAAAGCGTTGCGATGTTTATCCATGTTTTGAAAGGGAAGCAAAATCGGGAAATCCAGGAATGGTTCCAACATTCCGGGGAGACTGTGTCGAGGCACATGCATAACGTATTAAATTCCATGAAAGAGTTCACTGTTGTCCATTGCCGGCCCACATACAGTTAGCATCGTATACATCCATACGTGCGGTCTAGACGGAAATACCTACCGTTCAAGGTACTTCAGCAAAACATGATTGACATATAAATCAAGACAATATATATGGTTTTTGTTATTAACTGCACGTGACAAATTTGAAACACTTGTTACAAAGTTACGAAACAAAACATATGATCCATGTTGACAGGACTGCATTGGCGCAATAGACGGAACACATGTCAGTGCATGAGTTACGGGGCCAGATGCGGCAACATATTTCGGTAGGAAATACTGTCACACACAAAATATAATGGCCGCTGTCGATTTTGACATGTGTTTCATATTCATTTCATATTCAAGTATGCATGATAGTCACATATTCAACGAGATACTAACAAATGACAACGTCCCATTCCCACATCCTGACGAAGGTAACACATGGCCATGTTATTAGATTTGTTAACAAATACTTATTTCCTGACAAAGCGTTATATGAAAATGACGCAGAATGTTGGTTTTGGTGTCATACATTGTCGTCATGTCTGCAGGCAAATATTATCTTGTCGATTCTGGCTATGCAAACCGGATTGGTTACTTAGCACCATTCAAAGGCCACCGTTACCACCAACAAGAATTCCGGCGTATTGCAAGAAACGCGATGGCAAACACGCCAAGGGAATTATTTAACAAAGTCCACTCGTCCTTACGCAGTGTCGTGGAACGCACTTTCGGTACCTGGAAAAATCGATGGGGGTTTATTCGAGACATGCCTCGGTATGACTTTGCAAATGTGCAAGTTCAGTTAGTAGGTGCGTCAATGGCATTACATAATTATATACGGCGAAACACAGGTAACCCAACAACTGTTCAGCCAATCTGTGACGAGGAAGAGGCTATGACAATAGTAAATGCCATACCAGAAGTTGAACATGACGAGGATGGTTTAATGGTTGGAGATGAGGACCCCCATATGGCATTGGTCCGCCTTCACATACGTGACAAATTATGTTACATGCGTAACAACGGAATGTTAGGAATTATATAGTAGTCGAAATAATGTTCGTATGGTCGTCACGTAATGACACACGTGGAACAGACTGTATTCAAATATATTATTATGTATAATATGTATGAGTTGCCAGGGGAATGTAACCCCTTCCAGTTGCTGACGTGCCTAAATTAAAAAAACAACAATCCATATGCATTTTGGTTTTGGAAAAATAAAAAGAAGGTGAAACAAATAAAAACAAATTAAAAAGAAAACTAATACACAAATTGTAAAGTGCGACGTGAATTACAAATAAATGAAACACATAAATATATTAAAAAAAAGTTATTGTATACCAATTAAAAAAAACAAGACTTAGTTAAAAATAAAAATCGAAGACAAAAAAAAAACATAGTTAAAAAAAAAACATAGTTATAGTAAAAAAAAAAAAAATTAAAAAGACAAAAACATAAATTCCCAAAAAAAAATCGAAAAATTTAAGCACAATACCCCAAATCCAAACCCAAAATGAAAAAAAAGTAACAGGAAAAAAAAAATTAAGCATAATATGAAAAATCCAAGCGCAAAATAAAAAAAATTTGAAACAAAAAAAAAAGTTAACGCAAAATCCGCCAAACTACAAAAAAAAATAAAAAATTTGGATTTGCAAAATTCGGGAGATCGAAACACAACATACAAAAATTGTCAAAAAAAAAACGTAAAGCGAAAAATGCCAAAGCGAAACCCCCCTCAAAAAAAACAAAACAACAAAAAAGGCAAAATCGAAACCCCAACATAACAAAATTAAAATAAAAAAGAAGAATCAAAATATGGCAAATCTAAACCCAAAATAAAAAAATGAAAATTAAAAAAATTAATTGAAAAAAAAAAGAAAAAAAAAGAAAAAAAAAGGAAAAAAACGGAAATAATGCCAAATCCCAACCCAAAATAAAAAATAAAAAAAAATGGAAAAGGGCAATTTGGTCTTTTAACAAGATGACACCTCACCAAAAAGCCAAAAAAGCCAAAAAGTCATTCCCAAACCAGGCTTTTTAGCCCCAGGCTAAAATAGCCAAAAAAGTCAAAAAGCCAAAAAGTCAACCCACTTCCCAAACGGGGGCATAGTAACTCATTATTTTTAGGTAGATGGAAGATAATAAGTGAATCACTTAGTGTGAGTTGCGATTTCTTATATCGGAAATACAACGTTATCAATGCCACATAATATTCTGGAACTATTGAATAATTTCTATTCAAAATACATTTTTATAATCAATACTATCTCTCTAATATTTTTCTACAAATAAAAATTAAAGAAATTTTATAATGATTTGTGTTATAAATGATTTGCTTCTATTTTCTAAAATTAAAAATTTTAATTTGTAATTTTTTGTACTAAAATTGCATGCTCACATTACTATTGCGTTCAAGTTATTCCACATTATTATATAATTTTGATTAGTTGCTATTAATAATGAATAATTAAATTTTTATACATAAATTTAGCTTAGAAATTATTATTATTTTATTGTTGATTACAAAAAAATTTAAATTATAAAGTGTCCCCTCTGGCTTAGTTTCTTGGCTTTCCCACTGACTCCAGAAATAGGATTTGAAGGCTAAAAATTGATGTGGAATTAGGTTAAACTATCTTAGGGTTTCACTTCCCACACAACTTGGCTCAAAATAGAAAATGGGTCACGGTGCAACAAAATGGGACAAGACAACCGGTTCGAATGTTTTAGTGCTCAACCATCTAGGCCTGGTGTATTTTCTTCGCAATTTGTATGGTTTTTAAGTTCCAAAATGTGGTTTATGAGCTTTGCCTTAAAATATTTTCAAAATAATTTTATTTAGTAACTAACTAAGTCTAATTTGAAATATATATAATAATAAAAAAAAGGTCCAATCAAAATTCAGTCTGTAGATTTTTTTAAAACATCATTTTGTCCTTACTTTTCAAAAACTGAAGAGCCATCATAAAATAGCTAGAAAATCAAATTCAAGCAAATTTTGTATTGTTGGAAATCTATTTCACAATACTAAAGAATAGAATTGACAAATTTTGGAAATCCAAAAGTGAGTTTATTTTGAGGGATTATTTCATGGGATTGGTCTGTTAGTCCATCCAAAAACGAAACCCACTGGTAGGACCAAAAGGGACAATTTAGGTTTTGAAAGGAATTGAACCCTAGGGTCATGGGGGCTCAAATTGGTCTTGGAAAAGTGGATTAGGATGTTTCACCGGACTAAAGTCCATTTGGGTGTATTTAGTTCCAAGTGAAGGTTGTCAAATTGATGGGAAACTATTCAATAATCCTAGAGTACTATGTATCTGTACTCCCTAATCAATTATTATTTAATATATCCCCTCATATTCTCCAATCACCTAATACATTACCCCATCTATCGACCTTCTCCACTAATCATATAATAGGAAATACCATGTGTCTATATTCCGGCATTACTCAATAATTACCCTTGATTAAGAGTTTCAAACCATCTCCAATGTTTATCATCGAGTTTGTATAGCAGCATTTTTCTAAAAGGAATAAAAGAATGATAAGGGAAAATATGACTTGAAGCGAAATTAAGAAAGTCGTTTAAAATGGTATGGACATGTGAAATGCTACATGCATAAGTAAGATAAATTAATGGGTTAAATTCATTTTATCATCTTGTGGTTTGGGGTTAGAATATTTTACATAATCAGAAAGTCCCCATGTGATTTTGGAGTGAAGTGTCACTGTTAAGTTTTACATCCAAACTAATAGAATATGTATCACACACACCATTATTGAGAATGGATTTAATTTTCTGAAAAAAAAATTAAGTGAAATTAATACAACAAAAAGAGTACTTTACCCCAATTTTCTCTCAACCTAAAATTAGATTAATATTTTAATAAAAAAATAAAATATAATTAAAGATTGATCTAAAACATAAAATATAATTAAATAAAAATAAATAAAAAATAATAATTAAAAATTGATCTAAAATATGATTAAATTAAAATTAAATTAACATGTTGAAAAAACTAATTAATAATTAACAATTTAGAATTATTTGTGACATAAAATATAATTAAATTAAAATTAGACTAAAAAATAAGGAATTAAAATAAATAATTAAATATTTAGGATTAACCGTAATCTAAAATATAACTAAATTAAAATTAGAATAAAAACTGAAGAATTACAATAAATAATTTAAAAAGTTTAAGTATTGTATGATTGCTTTATAGCTGATGAGGATGTATGCAACTTCAAAAAATTGGAACCAGTGCTTATGCTTGTTGAAAGAGCAATGTTAGGTATCATGAAAAAACTTTCATGAAAATGATCATGAAAGATTTATGGCCCTTGGATTACACTTAAAATAAAACACCACACACTAATTAAGATAATCCAAGAGTCATAAACTTTTCATGACCAGTTTCATGAAAGTTTTTTCATGATCCCTATCTTTTCTCTGGTTGAAAAAATTGAGTTGCGTCATGCAATTATAGAAAAGATGTTGAATGTAACCCGCCATCATTTTTTACTTGGACTCTGTAATTTGATGGATTACTTGGACTCTTAAATTGTTGACCCAATTCTCCGTTGACATCGTTTTTTTCTCTTCAAATGTCTTTATAAACATGCTAATCCAATGTGATATGTAAACATGATTATTGTACCATAACTCGTCATATAACTTTTGTTTTGCACCTTCTATAAACTTAAATGAAGAACATATGTAATTTCAACTTTCAAGAAATAATAATAAAGAAGACCACATTAAGCATGACTCTCTCTCTCTCTCTCGCAAGGGCACAAGTTGTGTGGGGCTACAAACCAGCTGCTCAAGTACACTCATGCACAAAAGCCTTTATTCTGTTACCTATGATCAGGGCGGGCTCTGAGGACAAGCAAGAGAGGCCTGCGCCTTGAGTTTCTAAATTTGGACCGAAAATAAGACTTTCAAATATAATTTTGTGTCTTAGATATATATATATATAAAACACTTAAATACTATAGGCCTAATTAAACATGGGACTAAAAAAAAAAGGAACAAAACTATTTGTAATGATTGCTTCCTATCTTAATATATAAAATTAAATTTTTATTTATAATTTTAATGATTATATGTGCAAATAAATTTTTTTGTGACTACAAACAAATAAAAAAGTTGTAACTTGTCGTTTTATTTATGAATTTTTTTTTTTTCAATGTAAGAGGGTTCCATTTCTAAAGTTTTTCTTGAACCTCCTAAATCTCAAGGCTAGCCCTGATTATGATAAACGTCACCTTTCGCATAAATTTACTAATATTTTCTATCAATATATTAACCATCAGCTGCACCTCACCCCACTCCCCATGCATTCAACTACTAGTATTCATGTTGTTTGTTGCTAACTAAAACCATGTTTCTCTTTTTACACAAATGTATGTATATATTTCCTTAATTTCCTCGAACCATTTTTGCTCATCATCTTGGTGATCATGATCATCAACGAATTATTCAGATTATTTCTAATCCATCCTATATATATATATATATATGTCAACTTATTAAACTTTGTTCCTCCTCCATGGATAGTCATAATCATAAGGCGGAGATTCTATCAACTGAGATCGTGAAGTGGGGGACCGAGGATTCAGGGCCCTATGCTGGATCCATGAGCTTCTCTGTGAGGGTCCGGCATGGCTTGGCTGACTTCCTCAATTCTGTGAATCTGAAAAATGTGAAGCTCGGTTATAGTTACCTTATGAGCCATGGCTTTTATTTTATAGTCATTGCACCACCTGCCGCCCTCATTCTCAGTGCTCAAATAGGGAAACTAACATGGGAAGATCATTTCTTCTCCTTGAAATTGCACCTCACAAACGCTCTTTTTCTCTCCTCTACCGGACTCTTTTTAGCCTTAATTCTATATATTTATCTTCATTTGATGCCACCATCTACTTATTTACTTGATTTTGCTTGTTTTCGCCCACCAACTGAATTCAAGGTACGTCAAATTATTTAAAATCATCCTTATCTTTGCCTATTAATTAATTAATTTGTTTGTTCATGGATAGTTGTTCCTGTTAAATTCGACGCCTGCAATATGAATGCAAATCCTCTATCCCCTTATGGTGCCCCCTTCTATGCCCCATTAATCCTATCGTTCCATGATGATGACATGAATAACAATATTAATTTCTAATATTAGGTTGTCATTATCTATAATTATAACTACAAATGAACTAAGTTATTCATGAATAGCTCAAGCTCGGTTGTTTGAGCTTGGTTCGTTTAAATCAACGAGCTTGAACTCGATTTTTAGATTTGCTTATTAATCGAGCCAAGGTTGAACAGACCCAAGCTCGGCTCAATAAGGCTCGTGAACATAAATAAATTAAATTAATATTTATTTTTCATAATATACCAAATACATTTTTATTAATTTCTTTTATTTTTTTATTTGTGTTTAGTATTTATGTAAATTTATATATTTGATCGATAAAATTTATTATTAATATAAGCATTCTTGTATATTTTTCTCATAGTGTTTTTTTGGACGAGTTCAAACTCGAAATCAGGTCGTTCATGTGTAATTGGGTTGGCTCAAGCCAACTTTGAGTTTCTCAAATTTTTAACTAGCCAAGCTCCAACTTGACTAATTCTTGATAAACAAGCTTGAACATTTAAAAATTCAGTTCCGCTTGGCTTGTTTGTAACTCTATCTATAATAGGTAGTAAAACTAAAAAAATGGCAATCCGATTTAGGTAAGAATCCTTTCTAAATATATAATATTCCATTAAAAAAAACAAAAAAATCCTAAATAAAATTCACTCTTTAATTGTGAAATTGATACGGTATTATCATAAATTCTATTAGTGAATTAGATTGTTCTATTTACTTTTCATATTGAAATTGTTCTAAACATCTACAGAATGATAATATATGCTTATTTTATGTCATTTTGCACATCAATCATATGCTTGACGAGCCATGTTTTTTTTTTTTTTATTTTAATCTTGCAAGATTTTTTCTCAAGTTTCACATTTGATAAAAACTCCTGTATTATATTTCCTTCTCAAAAAAAAAATTAAAAAAAAAAATAAATAAATAAATAAATGATAGAAGAAGAAGAAGAAGAAGAAGAAGAAGAAGAAGAAGATTGATCAGAAAGTTATGAATTAAATTGTGCATGTAATTAGATATAAGGCTTGGTGTAAACCAATTAAGTTGTGCACACCTGGAACACGAAAATTCATATCACACCAAAAATTCATATTATCAAAATGCCAAATACTCCAATACACAACATTATCAAAATAAAAATAAAAATAAAAATAAAACATTAGATCATAGAAAAGGGAACTTCAAAAAAATTCTTTTTATTTATATACAAGTGAAATTCAACATTTTATTTTAGTACAACAAAAAAGAGAATGAAAAGAAAACTCAAAATAAATAAATAAAACATTCATCTGTAGAAAAACCAAGGGTGAACTATTATATAAAAAGATCAATTTATTAAAAATGTCAACGTTGCAAATCCAATGGGTACATTTGTTCAAAAATTCAATGGGTACATGACATTTGGATGACGAGAGGTAAACCATAGGAATGTTGTGTATTCTTAACTCGTCCAGTGCCTCATGCGTTTTGGTTCATATGACATTTTATTTCCGTTAGAATCATAAATGTTGAGTGAATTCTTAATTTAGGAATAATATTAAATTTCGTCCATAACAATAGTATGAAATATCTCCATCTAAAAAAATAGTATAAAATATTAGTAATAGACAAACCTAGAAAATATATCTAAAAATACTTTAAAAAAACATATATATGGATCACAATCATTTTAGATAGAACGCACGTCACATAAATTTTAAATTCAGAATAAATTCCAGATTATGTTTTTCATGGTCCATAGAATTTGTGTTTTTGAAAAGTTGCATCTTTTTTTTTTTTTTTTTTGGGTGTTACGTTTGGAAAAAGTACACTAAAGAGTTTTTTTATGTGTTACATTGGAATGTTACACAAAAGAAATTTTTTGGAATGTTATATTAGAGTATTACGTTCGAAAAAAATGCACTAAGAAATTTTTTTGGAGTGTTACGTTTGAGTGCTATATTGGAGTGTTACTGCTTGAAATTATACATTTGATCAAAACTTACTAAGGAATTTTTGTACTCCTTTTGAAATATTTGAAGAATCACACATTCTTTCGAAATGTTTGAAGAATCTCATATTTCAACCCATTTTTGTACTCCTTTTGAAATTTTTAAAAAATCATACATTTCAAAGTCATTCCAAATAAAAAAAGTTTTTTTATATAAAAAATTATCTCAAATTTGATTCTCATAGGCTGTGTACTTCAAATTTCTAGCACCAAAAAAAAAAATAATAATAACAAAAAATAAATAACAAAACAAAAAAACAAAAACAAAACAAAAAAAAAAGTGAAATATAATAGAAATGTAGGTATAATTGTAAATCTAATTTTCAAATAATATATTAAATTTACATTTTCAAAATCAATAGAACTAATTAATCTATAAAAAAATCTTTAAAACTAAATAAATTATCATTTGTCAAGGTGACATTTATAAGTAAAGTTTCCAATGACTCTCATATTGAAAATTAATATTGTTATTCATGTCGTCATCATAGACCAACAGAATTAATGGGGTGTAGAAAGAGGCACCATAAGGAGATAGAGGATATGCATTCCTACATATATTCCTTTAATTTGCAAATTACATACTTCCAGTTGATTACTTGTTTTTCATTAATTTGTTCTTGAATGCAACGCAATACAATTCGTATATATAATTTCAAGATATGAAATTATTTACAATATTTTTTCTTAGGTGATAGATTGCTGCTGGGATCAATTATATTGAACTGACCGACTATAAAGTCATATATATTTTTTCTTTGATTTTTTAAGATAAATTACACTTTGTCTCCCTTTATATTTAGTTACTTTTTCACTTTGGCTCCTAAATTTTATTTTATTTTTTTTTACTTTAACCCTTCATGTTTCGATTTTTTTCAATTTACTCATAAAGCTAATTTATATTCAAATTTAGACAGAAAATGCCACGATAACTATCATATAATATAAAATATATTATTACATTGGGATTTGAGCTTGTGTCAAATGTATGAGTTATATATAATAAAATAAATTTATGTCATGTGACTGCAAATGTGCTTTTTTCTTTTTCTTTTTTGGGTCAAATTTATAATAGAAATTAGCCTTAGAAGTAAATTGGGAAAAAATTAAAACATGAAGGCCAAAGTAGAAAAAATTAAACTTCTGAGGTCAAAGTGAGAAAATGACCAAATATAAAAGGGACAAAATGTAATTTATCCAATTTTTTATTGGATTGTTGTTGCATGATAGACATTATTATTATTATCATAATTTCTTAGAATTTTAATTTGTACAACCGCAAAGTGATACTAGACTAGTCAGCCTTTTTAATTTTAATTCAATAATAATACCCAGATGTCAAAGGAAGAGTATATGGATTTGGCTAGAAAATCTGGCAAATTTGATGAAACAGCTATTGAATTTCAGCAGAGAGCCCTTGAGAATTCTGGGATAGGAGATGAGACCTACTTGCCAAGAGTAATATTCCATCCTGATTATAAAATTAATCTAAAGGATGGGCGAGAAGAGGCAGCAATAGTGATGTTTGGGGCTGTGGATGATGTCCTTGCTAGCACTAGAATCCAAACAAAAGATATCAGAATCCTGGTTGTGAATTGTAGTATTCTAAACACAACTCCATCATTGTCAGCAATGATAATAAACCACTACAAGCTTAGGCATAATGTAAATAGCTTCAACCTTGGTGGGATGGGTTGTGCTGCTGGGATTGTAGCCATTGATTTAGCAAGAGACCTTTTAAGTGCATATCCAGCCTCATACGCATTGGTAGTGAGCACAGAAGTTGTAACATTTTCTTGGTACACTGGCAATGACCTTGACATGCTTCTTCCTAATTGTTTCTTTCGGATGGGGGCTGCCGCCATGTTGCTCTCCAATCATCTCCTCGATAGATGGCGTGCCAAGTATGAGCTCAAACAGGTACACTAATTGTATAACTGTCTAGTTTCCGTACACCATATGAAGGCTAATACGGTTATAGAGTATAACGGCCATAGTGAAATAGTTGCGACAATTGAAATAATGAATTCCTTTTTCCTTTGCACAATTCCGTGATAACATATTGATTCTTGTATTTTTATTTGAAAATCACATTTTTTGATATTTAGAACTTTTTTTGTGGGATTTAGTATATTTTTTAAAACATGACCAATATATGTACTAAATTTTATTATATTTTAAAGTTTCTATAATGGGAGTTCTGATATATTTTTCTTTAACTTTGTTGAATTCAAGTGTCATATGCACTACTTTATTGTTATTAATATTTATAATTTATAATATTGTGTTTTAAATTTGCAAGTTACATATGTTTAATACATAAATTTGAATATCATGCTTTTATTTTATTTTACACACTAAAATCATATGATTTATATAAGGAACACAAAATACAACTAAATATAAAATTTATATTCAATATAGTGTGGGTGAATAAACAAAAATTGAACCTAAAAGAGGGGAGAATGAGAAAAAAAAAAAACTAGTTTTTAAATATCGTAGACGCCATCATCACTGTTACTTAAGGGTGGTGTCAATCACACTTATGAAATTCAATCCCACCATTATAGAAGCCAAAACGATGTTATGTTGTGGCTCATTTTTCAAACTGTGTCTGAAAGTTTGTCACTATGTATTTAGTTCAATTCAATATCAATAAAAGTTTTTGATGATGTAATATATATAAACTAATTGAGCTTAATTACATTACGTTACATTAAAATTTACATTTACATATGAAAAATTAATATGTTGTTGATTGTGTTGCATGAGCATGTAGCTAGTTCGCACACACAAAGGCATGGACAATAGAAGCTTCAAAAGTGTACATCTAAAGGAAGATGATAAGGGGAAGAAAGGTCTGTCGGTGAGCAAAGATTTGATTGAGGTGGCAGGACATGCTCTCGAAGCTAATATAACCACCCTCGGCCCGTTAGTTCTCCCAATTTTTGAGCAAGTCCATTTCTTCACCCCTTTACTCTTTAATAACAAGTCTTCTAAGCCTCACATTCCCAACTATAAGCTTGCGTTTGAGCATGTTTGTATAATGGCAACAAGTAAGAAAGCCATTGGTGAGATGCAAAAGAACTTAGAGCTTACAGAAGAGTACATGGAGGCTTCAAAGAGAACTCTAGAACGATTTGGGAATACCTCGAGTAGTAGTGTCTGGTATGAGTTGGCTTACTTAGAGGCGAATGCAAAGATCAAGAGAGGTGATCGGATTTGTCAAATCACTTTTGGATCAGGTTTCAAGTGTAACAGTGTTGTTTGGAAGGCTCTTAGGAGTGTCTCAAGTCCAAAGAGAAGCCCATGGATTGAGGACTAAATGTAAGTAGGTAAGATATATGAAAGAAATAGCAAAACCAGAACATATACACAGAATTATATTTCTTTAATGTAATGTACTAGATTAGCGAACTGTGACATCCCAAAATAATACCTCACATCATGATACTCAAAGGAAAATAGACACTTAAATAATATTAACCTTCCACTAATATCTTTTTACTGTGCAAAAAATGACATATACATGTATACATTCATAAATCTTAGATCATGAATCTATAGCATATGACATGTATGAGTGAATCGGAGTAAAAGAAAGTACAAATAAGTTAATGCCTTACTGGCTACATCTTTCCAAGTTTATACTTGGGAACAACAAAATGAGTTGAACTCTATACATATAAAACCCAAGGCTTGTACAACAAATATTCACATAAAAGAAACAAAAAAGAAACTCTCGGCTCCAAGGTCCTCCCAAGCTATATCTTTGGTCGAGGCATATCATCGGCACCTGAAAGTTGTTTTTTACACAGGATTAGCTAAAGCCCAATAGAGAATGCTTTCATAAACTGTATGATGCTTAACAAAGTGATGTGGTGAATGTACATGCATGCAATTTACCAAAACGTTACACTTCTCTTTCAAAACAATGCAATGCCATAGTTATATATCAATTTGTAACACAATACCTTTTACATCAAAAAACAGGGCAGTGGATACAAGCATTGTGAATTTGTAGGTACATGTACGCTAGTAATCTATACAAGCACTGTGATACCCCTGTTCTGCGTTATGCTAAATTGGTCCTTAATTTGAATATGATTATGTGTTCAGCCTGACTTTATGTGCCATTATGTGAATATATGTGATTTTGCAATTCTATCTGTTCACTGTAGGAATATCTGTTTGAGTAAACTACTTTGGAAAATTAAATTGAGGGCCCTATCGGCCACAGAACCCGAAATTGATTACGCCATTGTGATTGGCATAATTTTTAGAGCCTACGGTGAAACTTAATTGGAAATTTATTCGGGTCAGATTAAACTGATTAAATTGAGGGTCTAGTGCCTCAATTATTTAATATTAATAATTTTAAGTTAGTGGGGCCATATAAGGGCCCTTGTTACATTCAATTCTCCTCCTTATATCATTTTGGCTGGAGTTTAACTCTCTAGAAAAGAGAGAGAGTCGACTTTGAGAGAGAGGGGAAGCACCATTGGGCATTTTGATTCAAGATTGTGGATTGGGAAGCTACACTCTAGAATTAACAAGAACGGGTGGAGATTGAAGCTCCTAGGTGAGTGATCAACCCTTAATTCATGAATTTGTGTATGTAATAATGTTAATTCGAAGAGATTATCTGATCAAGAACATGAATGGTATTGAGTATGATGAAATTGAAGTTTATATGCACATGCATGCATAGAATGGCCATGAAATTGCATAATCAAGCATGTGAGGAGTAGAATATGAGAAATTGGGTTTTGAATCATACATGCAAGTATGGTTTGGTCGAGCTTCATGGTTATGAGCACCATTTGTACCAATTGTAATAGAAATGGAGTCAAGGATTGGCATGCATGCATGATTGATGTAGATGTGAAGTTGGAATGCATGAATTAATTATGTTGGAAAATGAATTTGAGTCAAAATGGGCCATGCATGTAAGTAATTCTTGGGATTGAGCTTCATTATGTTGTAACTTGGGGTTTGTGCTATGTTAGTGTATGTTTCTATGATATTTGAGCCGAAATCATGCATCTTGAACCTTTGAATTTCGAGTTGAAGCTCAAGAACTCAGTTATGGGTTTTCCAGAATTTTGAGGTCCGCTCGAGCGGGGAACCTGACGCTCGAGCGGGAAATGCGTGCTCCCAGTACTTTTTGCAGACTTAATGTCCGCTCGAGCGTGGTAATTAACGCTCGAGGGTGGGAGCTATTTTGACAGGCCTTCCGCTCGAGCGTCCTATTTCACGCTCGAGCGTATTTTTGATGAAACCAGCACTTTTGCAGGCCTTGAGGGTCCGCTCGAGCGGGAAAGTCCACGCTTGAGCGGGGATCCTATTTTCTGAAATCCTGTTTTTGCATTTTGTGTTCTGTTTTCCGTTCTATTTCACTTGCAAGCACTCTTAGGCATATGTTAAGCATTGTAAATGAGTTAATGAGATAAGAATAAAGCCTAAAGAGGAATATGTGAATCAAAGAACGGATTGAACTGTTAATGACCCTTTTGTGTTCATGAAACGTGCAGGGTCAAGCTCCAGGGCAAATCAACAAGCCGATCACTGTGAGTAATATCAATACTTGAAAGTTTGTCAATGTCCAATTGTTATTCCCTTATAAACTTTATGAGCTGTTAATTGGGATTGTGGACTAAAGTCTGACAAGAATAAATAACAATGAATGGACCAAAGGTCGTTTTGATAAGAAAGAATGGACCGAAGGTCGTTTTGATGTATATGAATGGACCAAAGGTCGTTTTGATAAGAATGAATGGACCGAAGGTCGTTTTGATGTATATGAATGGACCAAAGGTCGTTTAGATGAATATGAATGGACCGAAGGTCGTTCTGTCATGAATGAGTGGGCTAAAAGCTGTTTTGACGTAAATGAATGGGCTAAAAGCCGTTTTGACGTAAATGGATGGGCCGAAGGCCGTTTTGACATGAATGAATGGGCCGGAGGCCGTTTTTGACAAGAATGGAAACCTGAATGGGCCAAAGGCCAGTATGTTGGAACTACAGTCACTTGATCTAAATTTTGTATAAGTAATATATATATCTGTGTTAAATAGAAGTATGAATTGGGCCCAAGGCCGTTTGGAGCATGTTGTTCTACATATTGTCATGTAACTGTCATGTTTGATATTATTCACTGGGCTATCGCTCACGCTCATTCATGTGTTTGTAGGTGAGCCAAGGAAGTTCAAACCCAGCCCCAGTGAAGTCTGCTAGAGAAATCCGAGTTTTGAGGAAGTTAGCCTTGCGTCTCACTCTTGAGACCTACCTTGCCTTTTTGCTATGTACTTATGTTTTGTCTTGTGGCAAGGGCCCTAGTGTATATCTGTAAATAGCTGTCATAGGTTGACTCGTTTTGAATGATCCTGTCTGTAATGAATTTGTGAAATTGTAATTTTGAGGTGGGTTATTAACGTAACTGAATATGGTCTGTTTGATGTGCATATAAGCACAGCTCTATGGACAAAGTTTTTAATTTTTGCTTCCGTTTGGCCCCTTTACCTGACAAGTTATGTCTGTAGAATATGAGGCCGTAGGTAATCTCAAGATTGCTAGCCGGTTATGTCCTTAACCATAGGGGCGGGTTCGGGTCATGACAAGCACTACCCAAACCGTTTTATTAGTACAAACCGGAAGGATCGGCACCTAACTGCGTGGGTTTCTGAACTTTCACCAAGGACACACGGGCCAACATAATAAAACCAACAACCACACTCCCTAACCAATTTCACTAAATTATTCACCAATTTTCTTAAAAACAATACAATTTCAATGTTTATGTATGAAACAATGTTCAATGCAAAATGTATAAGTAGTTGGTTTCAATTAATCTAATCCTCATGCAATCTACAACAATCAAAGCTATTGTCCACCAATAGCCCAAAACAGGTATCTCTACTCAATAGATAAATTTCCAACAAGAAGCATATTTTCATAATCTCAAAATGGGAGTGATAATACATATCCAACTTCATCCTCATCATCAACAACTACAATCATTTTATCTTTTCAAAACCCAACATCATTCCTTCGTATTCAATGGTCAAACACTAATGATTTCAAATGAAACATCTTTTACTTTCGAAAACACATTTTTAGGAGAAATTTCCAATATTTCAACACAACTTCACAATCTAAAGGTTGAATTCATGAAGTAATTGGGTTTAACGACATGAATGTTATTAAGAACTGTCAAGAGGATGATGAATAGTAAACAAAGCTCATATCCATGGTTATACATCTCATGTTTCACCATTTTTGAACTTGGTTTTGAAGTTCTTGCATACATAAGAGTATATATCTTACATGTTTTCAGAAAAATTCATGGCTCACATGTTTAATTTCATGTTTTGAAAATTAAGAGAAATATAATCCAATAGTAAGAATTTTACATATAATGAAAAGAAAATATATAAGGTCAAGAACTAAGAAATTAATTTAGAAAATTAATTATTTTGGGTTTGATTTTGTAGTCTTGCATGAAATTAAGTCTCATTGTTACATGCAATAGCAAATTCTATAAGTTTTAATACTCTCATTATACATGCATCTTCAATCTTGAAGAATTTGAGATAATCAATTTCATGTTTTCAACATGGAAATCTAGAATTAATCTTGAAGATAAATTGGGTTTTCGATATTTGTTTTCAAAACTAAGAAATAGTTGGATATTAATCCTAAAGCCCATGCATGTTAAGTAATTTCAGAATTTTTATTCAATTTAAGCATATTATTTTTGAGTTTGGATTTATTGCATGAAAATTTGGAAATAAATTGGGTTTTGGCATGAAATGGGTTACATGTATATCATGGAAGATAATTTGTTAGTTTTACATTTTGGGGTGATTTTGAAAGTTATAGTTAAAATAAGCTTCATGATTTACAATCAATTTCATTGTACATTTGATTGTTTAAAAAATTTTTGAAAACCATGAATTCATGGGTTTTGATTTTGAAATTAAGTAAGGTTTTGATTCAAATAAATTAATTAATAATTTGGCTTCATGATTTTTGGATTTGATTTAAACTTATTGATGTATGAAATGTTTTGTATGAATCTATTTCAGAAAATTCATGAGCTCATATTGATTTCATATCTTATTTTTCTAAGGAAAAAAAGTTGAAGTATTTGCATGCATGAAGTTTTTGATTTAAGTTTTAACAATTTAACGAGAATTTTGAGCAAATGATTTATAAAATATAATAAGTATTTATGTTCTCTAAATTTTTTTCAAGATTTGATTCAAGATATGTATGGTCCAAGATTGGAAAAATGCATTTAGAAGCCATGTTTGAGAGAATTCAAAATTTCTTAGAATTAAATTTACCAGAAAATCGCTCGAGCGGGACTAATTACCGCTCGATGCTAACATTGAAGGCATTCTAGTACTTTTGTAGTTTTTTACAAACCACTCGAGCGACTAAAGGTTCGC